GTTTTGTCAATCAACCTCTGGTACATTTTTGTCTCAACAAAAGTATGTCACTAATCTTCTAATCAAAGGCTAATAGGACCAAGTGTAATCCCTGCTCCACTCCTTGTTCTTCCTCCTCTAAATTGAGCAAATCTGATGGAATTTCCCTTTTTGATCTTACCGACTATCGAAGCATTGTTGGTGCTTTACAATACATAACCTTTAGTCGCCCAGACATTGCTTTCTCTGTCAATAGGGTCTGTCAATTTATGCACAATCCCACTTATGTGCATTTCTTTGTTGTGAAATGTATATTATGTTATATCGAGGGTACCACTCCTTGGGGTCTGCAATATTGCCCTACTCCTCTTCATATTTCATCCTACATAGATGCTGATTGGGCAGGTGATCCAAGTGATCGCTGCTCTACTACTAGTTTTGTGGTCTATTTGGGTTCTAATGCTATCTACTCGGATAGCAAGAAACATTCAACTGTGGCCAGCTTTTCCACTGAAGCTGACTAAAAGGCCTTAGTAGTGACATGGCTTCGCAAATTACTTTGTGATATGAGTATTTTTCTTCCACATTCTCCTCATTTATGGTGTGATAACATCTCAGCCCCGGCATTAGCATGTAATCTAGTCTTTCATGCTCGGACAAAGCACATTGAGATTGAATTTCACTTTGTTCGTGAAAAAAGTTAATTGCAGAGATCTTCTCATTCTCTATGTCAGACCAAATTGTTGACATCCTAACCAATGGTCTATCCTCTTCTCTATTCACTCATCACAGAATCAGAAGCTCTTTGAGCAAAGTAGAACTTTAAGCAGAGCTCCACTCCATCAGCAAGAGAATAGACCACTTGCATTAGTCCACCTCAGCAAAACAACCCTACAAGTGGTAAAGGTTGATCTGTGAAGCAGTTAGATCTAAGTCAATCAAATCTGTACAGCTATCATATTTGTAACTAAAGGATTTTTTTTCTCTAGTTTCACAATTAAGGCCAAATTCAAACCATTTTATTTTCGTGTCCGATTTATGTCAAGTTCATGGATCGCATGGACAATTGTCAACCATAAGTATATACAATATTCGTATGTTTGAGAGTTTGGACTTTCCTCTTTACTTTTCAGACAAGACCTCCCTTTGCCCCCATCCAAAACCAGTGGAAATCATCCCACCAATTAATTACTCCTCTCAATGAAACCCCTCTCTCTCTCTGTGTCACACACACACACATGGCAACAAAACCACCGTGCAACGTTGATACATGCTACACCCACCTAGTGAAACTCACTGCGTCCGAATCCACCTACCAACAAAAAAAACACACCCCACCGTAGATTGCAAATAAAAAGACTCAAAGTGGCATCCATGATTTGCATGTGATAAAAATTTCACGTATTTGAGAATAAAAATTTTAGAAATCTGTCATAGGAAAAGTTGTATGTATTCAAAAAATTTGAAACCACATGTTTGCATGTGACTGATTTTTGTAGCTATTGGCTCTCCAAATTTAATAGTTGGAGTGAATTGAAAAATATTCAAATTTTAAGGGGACAATTTATTGAAATTGAAACCAAAAGGAATTGATTGCAACGTGACTCAAATTTGGAGGGGACATTTTGTAATTAATCTTTAAATATATGTATTTTTTTCTTTTCTAACACTTTTTTTTCAATACCAAACTATAGAAAATTAATTTCTCAAACTTTTCATCCATCTTCCCAAACCCAAAAAAAAGAGAAAGTATTTTTGTTTACTCTAACGACCGAAAGTCTATTCCTTATACTTCTTCTTCCTTTCAAATTTTCATTTCTTGTACTAAACAAAGCATTTTGCATATCAACATGGGAATTATAAATTCATTTTTGGATTATGTATGTAGAAGGCAAAATCATAATACCTCCTAGGTTTGATGAAGAAAACTTTGTTCCTCTTGAAAGCCTTTCTTGCAAAAATTAACAAACAGCTTAAGATCGAAGTGCTTCGATTGAAAGCATTTCGATACTTAAGTTAGTAACTATATATGAGGAAAATATATGCAAATAGGATTTTACTTACCTTTTGTCATATATACATCTAGACTGCGTTTTATAGATTTTGCCTTGTTTATTTCTGGTGTGAGAGATGACACATCTCCTTTCATTCGGGAGTATTTGTTGGGGACCGCAAAAATCTTTCATTCGCTCCTTTGATTGCAGCTCTTTTGAATCATTGACTTTGTTTAGTTGTTACACCTAAATTTTCTAATTATAGGCTCTTTTCTCGCTGTTCTGTTCAGGCCACGCCTTCAACTGAACTGTGTACTTGTGCTCAGTTGTATGAACCGAGCTGTTGCAAATCGGTTCGGTTCGTCCCAAATTGCTTATAATTACGATCCATGTGACCTGTCCCTTCATGATAACATGCGTGTATTACCTGTCTATACACGTGGCATAATTTTATACCCCTTCAATTAATACGTGGATTTATTTATTTTTTCTGAACTAAAATACTTTTCGAGCCAGTAAAATAATTATTGATGACATCCATAGGCTGCTGCTTGATGTATGGATGAATTTTTATTTTTTTTGGACAACCAAAGTTGAACTGGGCCAGCTAAATTCGATAATAAAATAATTTTAAGCTTGAACGGTTGAGTACTATGCTAGAAATCTGTACAATTAGGTTAGGTTGAATTGTATTTTGCATTTCGAAAGATTTAAGAATTTTTATTTTGTATTTTTAAAGAATAAATTTTTTATATTATACCGTCAAAGATTAAAATTTTTGACATTACACTTTCAGTGTATTAAAAATATTATAATGTAAATATTTTTGTTAGCTTCTATTGCGCATTTCGTCAATATCAGTGTAGTAATTTTTAACTGAATAAGTAACAAAAATTAACATAAGAATTATGTTTGCAACACGTTTCATACATTAAAAGTGAAATGTATAAAATTTAATCTTTAAATATACAAAATAAAAAAAAAATTAAGTTTCCGTAAACATGCACGTGGAGATCACGTGGGTTATACTTTAGGAGTTAAGGGTTGATCTAAAAATTGGAGTGTTGTATTGCTCCTTCACAATTGGAGCATTAAATATTAGAGCCTGGTGTTGATCTAATGATTGTTACAAAATCATATCATTATGTCAGCAAATTGAGTCAGATTTTTAAATCCAAATAGCATTATTCTTCAAAAAAAAGGGGGAAAAAAAATCAAAAACTAATAATATTATATTAATCATGCTACCCATTAATGAACCAAAGCTAATAATATCTAATGATTTTCTTTTGTTTTGCATTTCAATACTCCAAGCAAGATGATAATAAAATAAATAAGATAGACAGAGGGATGAAAGAATTTATTGTGGAAAAAATTGTCAGAGAGAAAGTGAAACAAATTTTGATTTTTTTTTTTGGTTTAAAATGGTATAGGGAAGCGATCAAATATGAAATTTCTGTCAGGACGTGATCATAGCGACTTTTACTCGCTGGTAAAGTCCTCTAGAGGACCAAGACGAGAAGAACTACTGGGCGCTAAATGCTATTAGACCACTCATCTTGGTGGTATTTAAATTTTTGTTTTCACTTGGATAAATCCTTCATTTACTTTCTCTCAAATTCTGAAAGGGGTTTTGAAGAATTACTTGTCACAATACACTCGTTTTGACCTTTACTTTATTTATTTATTTTTTTGCATTTTCACAAATTATACCAACACAAACCCAATATTTTTGTTCCAACTTCAAACTTTATCGGTTCTAGACGAGTTTATACAATTTTTAATGTCGGAGTATTTTAATTTTAGATTGTCAATTGTAAATAAACGATGGCTTGTGTGAATGAAGTGGATTGTGATTCGTATCATGATTAGTTGAATATTTGTGAGAAATTTATTTAATGAATTGAGTTTTATTTAGAATCATTATTCATGGTGATAATCAATATGTTCAATTTTTTTATGTACATTGATATTTATAGTCATCATTTGTAAAAATCAATTGTGCACTACTTATAAAAACAAATAAAATAGTTAATGTGACTTGGGTATGAGTAAGGATCAAAATTTCGTTTCGATACATTATTTCGGTCATTTAGAAAACAAAAATGTTTTCGACCTATTTCAAAATTTTTTTAACCAAATTTAAAAACATAATAAAAAACAAGAATTATTTTTTTAAAAATATTGGTCAAAATATTCTGAAATATCTTAAAATACTTTGAAACATTTCATCGTCACCACCATCATTATTGTAGTTACCACCTAATTACTGCCACCACCTTTGTTATTATCGCATCATCATCGTCACCACCACCACAACCATTACTATTGCCGACGCCCTACATTTAATGATTAAGGTACATATCAATTAATTTTATGTCAATCTAAGGATCAAAATTTCATTCGAAACAATTGAAATGACAAAAATATTTTTATTTTCAAGGAGATCGAAACAAATTAGTGATGAGATCATAATTTTTATATTTCGAGATGTTTTAAGATGGTTTGACATATTTTTACCATTGTTTTGAAATATTTTAAGGTGTTTTAAAATATTTCGAAACATTTTCAAAATAAAATCCCAAATTTTTATTCATTTTCATTCCGTGTCCGAACCCATTTCTAAATTATTTATGTTTTCCTAAGTCAACGTACCAATGTATTGAAAACGAAATTTTGATAAGTGGATTTAACCCGCAGATACCCGAAAGCTCGATGTCGGGTCTAATATCCGAATCGGGTCGCTGCCGTCTGCGATACATGTATGGCCCAGAATCGCCGTCGTCATTTAATTACGTGGTCAAAAATCTTAATCTGTTGGTTAGTCTAACGAACCTTCTTCATCTCTGTTGCCCTCCTCTTCCCTCACCCACGTAGTGTGTTAAACCTATCCAAAATTTTCTACCAAGGGTTTCTTCTCTGACTGCCCACTCTCTCTTTCTCTCTGTGCCCCACCAAGTCATACACACACACACAGCTCATTTCCTCTGCTGGATTGAGATTTGTAAACATTTATCTATAGTTGAGATGTTATTTTCAAGGGGTTTGTCTCGGATTTCCAGAACCAGCTTCAACCGCTGTCGATGCCTGTTCTCACTTGGACACGAACAGCAATTATCCAATTCCAATCCCTTTCGCTCTGTTGTAGACACCAATCAAAAGGTAATCTCGTAAAAGCTTATATGATATGTATAAATTTCAGAGGTGCATTATGTGTTTAGAAAATTCTCAGCTATTGCAGTTAATGTAACACCATTCAATTTTCTTATTAGTTTATGTGTAGATGTATATGAATTTTACTTAATTTTTTGCAATTAAGTAAAATTTGAGTGGGTAAATGCTAAAAGAAGGGTAGTACAGTTCACAAGGTTAAAGTTGGTTGGATTTTTGCCGTGTTGAAAATCAGCGTGGGGAATGCTATAACTGTTACTAATGACACAATTGGCTCTTGATGAAATTTGTTCGAACATATGGTGGGCATATAGAAGAAAGAGCAGAAGGAGAGAATGTAAGAGGAGGGCACATATTGACTTACAACTTTACAAGCCTTTGCTACACTAGAGAAGAAGAGAAAAACAAAAAAAAAAAAAAACAAAACAGAAAAGGACACAAAAATGGCCTATTTGTTTCCCCCTTTTTAAACCTTAGTGTAATAGACTGACGTGCTAACCGGCTACACCATGAGAGCCCATTTCTAAGCAAAAAGATGTTGGGATAAAATATTTAATTGGTTAAGCGAGAGGGAGATAGGGTGGGACCTTCCAACTATCAAATAATTGTTTTGTTGACCAATATCTATTTCTTTTGTCTTTGTTTTCATAAGCCTTAGGAGGAATGTGATGGCCTTATGGAAACCCTCATGACACATGCCCAATATAGTGTAATATGATCTCAATTTTATGGGTAATGCCCTAAAACATCTATTTAAGAAGACCCTTACAATCCTCTACAAGTAGGATCGTACAGAATTATTATTGACAACACCTGAGATAATAAACGAACAAGAAAATAAACTGTGAACATTATCTTCTTTTGACTCCTATGCCAAATCAAAGGTGTAGTAAAATGTTGGAGTCCACAATTATCAAATGTTGCATTACATAGTCATATAAAAGGAAGACGTAAGGTTTACCTAGTAGACTGGTGTGTTCGTTCTTTGTTTCTTGGTGTAGAGATTCATAGTGGTTGTGCACGGAGTCATTGAGCATTTTGTACATGTGAGTTGTTGTCCTTGTTTAAATGGGAGGTTTTGTGAGGCAAATTGATGCATCTTGCTGTGGGTTTTGTTAGGTTTCATAAGTATTGACCTACATATGTTTTGTCTGCTCTTCGGAATAATGGAATCAGCTTTGGTTTTAATTGCATCATGCTTTTCTAGTTAGCTAAGATATTTTTTTTTTTTCAAATAGGTTTTATTTCAGGGATGTCGAGAGTTTCTAGGGGTGGCGCGTGGGTGGGTGCTTAAATGAGTTAGTTGTTAAATGGTTGATGACTTCTGATTTTTTTGCTTCACAATATCTGTTATACTAGGGAAGGATTCATCCCTTGGAGGTGGGAGTGCCAGTAATGATAGGGGGAGAAGATTGATGTGGGTGAGAAGAAAAGAACTTGAAAGGTCAAAAGATATTCCTTAAGGACTTGTTTGGTGAGGGATTTGATAAGGCGTTATTTTAGGATGACGTGTTTGGGGAGAAGGAGAGGGTGGGCCTTGGTGCAATGCTCAAGTCACTTCCATGACCTAAGCATGATTAAAGTCGTGGAAACAACCTTTGGAGGCAGGCAAAACTGTGTACATCTGATCTTCTCTAGACCCCATAGTAATGGGAGCTTCTTGCATTGACCCCTTTTTTATGTTGTGGGGAAAAGGAAGACCTTAAATCTTATGGTTCGATGTTTTTTGTGATCATTGGAACCTCAATTTTTGTTTAAAGAATGCATATTGGGCTGAATTCCGAGGTGAAGAAATGCTTGGAATACTAGATTTGGGAGTCCTATTGAAGATTTAATGAATGTAAATTGCTCTAAAGTTCTTGATGTCCCCCTCAACTGGTTTGATGCAAAGCACAATATTAAAACTAGGTGTGGAACATCTTTGATCCTCAAGTCTGTTTTCTGATGTACTGGTTCTGGTTCTTTCCAACATGGTTTGGGGATCTAACCCCAAGTCTGTGGTGTTGTGGTTTGGATGACTTCTAATGTGTCTCATGTGGTGTTTTAGGAAGGTATAAAAGGTTGTTCATGGACTGAACTTCCTCATGCTTGTTGTGTAATTTTTTTATTTTTGTTAAATTGGTAGGACAGTGAAGTTCCTTTGGCTCCTTTGTTAGTTTGTTGAAAAAGTAATTCACTTGGCAAAACACATGGTATACTTCAGTTTATTCTGGCTGCTGATCTCTCTCTCTCTCTCTCTCTACACACACACACACACACACACCCCTTCGTCTACATGTTTTCAATATGTGTTTTATTTACTTCTTGCAAGAAATCATGCCTCTTGGTTGATTAATTTCAGTCCAGTAGTATCGTTGTTTTTCTGCAAGTTGGCATGCAAAAGTTTGTCCAGTTCATGTCTAAGTTTCGTGATTGTTTACATTGTCTTTGTGGTTGTTTCTGGTGATTAGTAGGCTTTGGGTTGCAGAGCCATTTATTCTTGGGTTTCAAGTGCCTTAAGTAGTTTCGGACAACAAATCCAACAGCAGAGCAGCTCTGTAGTTGAGGTAAGTGTCACATTTCATTGTTGTTTTGCCAAAATTTTGAGGTGCTTAACTTTCTTCCTTATTACAATAGTTAAACAATAGACAACAGCATCTCATGAAGTTAAAAAGAATTTCTCGCGGGTTCCTTTCGTTAGCTTAGATTTGGTCCTTGAGGCTCTAGTGGTCTCTGTCCTGGAGAAGAGGAGAAAATATCCTACAATTTCTGGATTTTTGTGCTTAAGAAATATTGCACTCACAACAGTCAAATGAATAATATAGGAGGTCTTCAGATCTCATTTCTTTTCCTGTGGTAGCTTGTAACCAAACAGTGGGTGAGGAAAATCCTGGGTTTGGATTGTTACACAAGTATGTTGCATAAAATTTTATCTCAGAATGGAGCATAAATTGATTAGCTTTGGGTTGCTTTTTTTCCCTTGCTGTCCTGTAGTTACCATTGTGCTCACAACCAGTGCTTCCTTACATAATGTTTGATTCACTTAGTAAGCTTGAACTTTAGTTTGCCTTACATAATGTGTTTTTTGAGTTTTTTTCAATGTACTTTGATCAAATCTGATTATTATGTTTTATCTTTTCTCTTGCAGGAGCAACTGGACCCGTTTTCAATTGTTGCCGATGAACTATCAATTCTTGCTAATAGGTTACGGTCAATGGTGGTTGCTGAGGTATTTGATTTTCATTTTCAAGGTCATTTATTTTGAAAGGTGTATGCTTGGAAGGGACAGTGCAATATAGGCCTTTCTTGACAATTGGAGTTGATCTCATACAGGTCCCAAAGCTTGCCTCTGCTGCTGAATATTTCTTCAAGATGGGGGTGGAAGGAAAGAGGTTCCGTCCCACGGTAAGATTTGTTGTGTTACTTGGAAAGGGTTGTAATTTATTTCTTGTTATGTTCATGTCAATGCTTGCTGAAATGGGACCGGTGTCATTTCGCGAACTTGTTCAGTGATTAATCTTGATACTGAGTTTTTGAACTTTAATTTTGTTGGAAGATGAGAGTGTCCAGTGTATAGTTACCACAATTCACTAAACCCTTAACGACTTACGATCTGGGTACATCGATCCCAAACGAGGTGGGTTTGCGATCCAGATCACTAAAATGAACGACCCCAAGTTGTAATACTAATCCTAAATCAATTCGCTTTAGAACATGTAGCACAAATATAAAATGCATATTAATTGACTACATGTATATAGATTTATAATTATATATTGTTTTAGATAATAGAAAATCAAGTACAATTATAAGATAAATAGTAACTAACTTAGTGTGTATGAATGTTTTGTAATATATAATGTTGTATTGTACTAAAAACGATCTACATAAGAGTTTTAAAACAAATTGTGACTCAAAATACCGTTTCAGCTAAACCTACGCTTATCATACTAAATACCTAAAAAAGTGTCGTATCATGTATCCGTATCTGTACCAAAGCGATCCATGATCTAGGTAACATTGGTCCAGTGTTTAGGCCTTTTAGAGGAGGACTGAAACCTTTGTATTGAATGGATGGTGGAGGTTTGGCTATTTGCCTTATACTTGGTCTTCAAAGAGGCAAAAGAGTTGTTGTATTATTTCTGACTTTATTGTGGCTTTGATTATTTGGTCTTCAAAGAGGCAAAAGAGTTGCCATATTGTTTTTGACTTTATTGTGGCTTTGATTATTCTTTTCTTTTTTCCATTTTCAACTAGAAATGTAGTGGTTGTATTGTTAGTGTCATTAATTTGTTTTGTTTAAGGTAATAATGAGTTGATAGTCCATTGTTTTGTTCATGATGTGATTATTTTGTTCTGTTTTGCGAACAAAGATACTCAATTAATTCATAACAGAACAATGGAGATTACTACCCCTTGCATAATATTGCCCATCCTGACGAAGTATTGCTAAATGAATTTTTTGGTTACTTCGCTAAAATACAAGGTGTTATGAGGAACTATGGTTTGAAGATGGAGTAGGAGAGGCAAGGATGATGAAAAGAATGAAAAAAGTGGGGCATGACCTTGATTTGGTCTCCTTTTTTGTTGTGTCTAATGTTTGGTCATCTATTATTGGTGGCAGACTTACACTGGAGGTAGTGGAGGCAACTGTCCGCAATGCAATTTTGAAATATTTTTGGGTAGTTTTGAAATGTTTATAAATTTATAATTTTTTAAAATTTGTCCCCACTAAAAATTCGTATAAATTTATCGCTACTTCTATATTTTAATAACACTTTTAAGTCTAAAAATCTAAACTAATTTACTAACATAATAATGTGCTAAGTGATATAGTCTCAAAAAATAACTAACTCAGGGTTACTAGAATTCGTTTGATGGCCAACAAACACCGATCTAGGTCGCACGACCCCAAACGGGGGTCGTTCGCGACTTGGATCGCTCATGTCTTCGACCCCAAGTGGCTTTATCCAATCCCTAAATCAAAACCTAAACCCTAAATAAAAACCTTAACCCAATAAATTGCATAGATGAAATTATTAGAGGTCAAATCAAGTGATACGTACTTGATGGATCTCACACAGCCTTTTAGATCACTGACTACCATTGATCGCGTCCTGTGCATATTGCTTCTCATCGTAGATGGCTTTGGAGGGCTTTCTTCTGAGATGGGGATGCTATCTGTTTGGAGATGGATAGTCGGAGGCTTTCATCCGAGATGGGTTGCTTGCTATGATGGTTTTCGTCCAAGACACGTCTCTTTCTCTCTCTCTCTTGACAGATCAGGTATGGTCTGGGATATTTTGACGTGATTTGGTGAACTTATATGACCTAGTGGATATCAGTTTGGGTGAAAAGACAAAAACAACCCTCTAATGATATGATAACATACTTTGATAAAAGGGATGAAAAAGTCAAGGCTATATTTAAGTTATATTAATTAGATAGCTGCTTTGCAAGTCTAAACTTGTTCTTGTAGGTTCCTATTTGCCTTGAAACTCATACAAAAAATACAAAATAAAAATTAATTAAATGATTGCTTATGCGTATATAAATAAAATAAGAGTTTGCAAAATATTATAGGTTTACAACTACTGGCCACTGATTATGTGTATAATATATAACTATATATAATTTTTTTGTAATAATGAAAACGAACTCGATAAAAGTTTAAAGCGAACCGCGACTCAAAATAACGTACCAACTAAGCTTACCCCCACCGCATTGCGCACCGGGGAAAGTAGCGTATCCCGTATTCGTACCCGTACCCGTACCACGTACCACGAACCAAACCGCCCCGCATTCCTGGTAACCCTGAACTAACTGTAAGAGTTCTAATACTTAGAATAATACTATTCTAAAATCTCTATTGTCACGTTATTGTATCAAAAATTTATGATAGATTTTTAGACACCAATAACACTATTCCTTATTAGTAAAAAATTTAATTCTTTCATAAATTAAAAATTTAGATTTACACGTCTTTAATACGATTCAATGTCGCCACCCTCTCTTCAATATCTCTTTTATCTCCAACTTTCTCTTTTCCTTACACACCAATTATTATCACTCAAAATCTATTTGTAAAATCGCGATGATATTGATGGTTGTTGTTTATTTGATTGTTCTCTTTAATTTTCTTTCTCCATTAGTGCTCTTTCAATGATTGGATTCTTAATTTTTACTTTCTTGAAAATTGGATTTTGATATTTGAAATTCGATTGCAATTAATTTTGATCTCAGAATAAATTATCTCGGTTGATTGGTTTTCATTATGATTTTAACGTGTGAATAAGCAATAAGTTGCCCCCACTACAAAACATTCTGGCTCCGCCCATGTCTGTTATGTTATACATTACCCAACTAATTGCAATTATATTTGGTCCACTCAGATGGTTGTGAGTATCATTCACATTGAACTATTTGTTGTGCGCTTTTGATCTTGAAATCCCCCTTCTAGTTGTGTAGCCATAATTGGATGAGTATTGAAATACATTTATGTTTGAATGGCGTAATCACCATCATGTGTCCTTCATATCTGTTGTTCTGTTTAAGGTGATAGTGTTTTTTTTTTTTGATAAGACTGCTGAAGGTGATAGTTGAAACTTCTATTTTGCCCAGGACCTGGTCTATTACCTTGATGATTTTGTGCAGTATCCTGCCCTTCCTGTTTTAGTGCTAACAGACATCTCTTTGTTGCAGGTTTTATTATTGATGGCAACAGCTTTAAATGTACCTATATCTGGATCAGCTCCTGCTAGGCCCTTTGATACTTTCTCCACAGAATTACGTACAAGACAGCAGAGTATAGCTGAGATCACAGAAATGATACATGTCAGCTTGGATGTTTCTCTCCTATTTTTTCCTGAAATTTCCTTTGTCATTCAATATGTGCTGTTTTATGATTCACTGTCCCAACAGTGAGTTCCTAGATTTTGTTTTTGTTTTTGTTTTTTTACCTTCAATCCCAGACAACATACTTTTTTGAACCTCTTTTCAACATACACACCTATAGTGGCTCACTAAGTGTGCAGGTTTCTTGGGGCCTAGGAGTGAGGTGAAGTGTAGGTTCCACCGAAGTAAGACATATGCAAGGGACAATGGTCTAAATGTTGTTTTGTTTCCACCAAAATGATCCAAGTGTTTCAGTTGCAATGGAAATTGAAACAAATTAGTGATGAAAAGTTAAATCCCCCATGGTTCAGAATATTTTGGGATATTTCGGAATGTTACAGACAATATTTTTAGAATTTTGAAATCAAAATTTTAGATTTTTTCTTTCCGAGCCTTTTTGCTTCTTTTTTTTTTTCGGGCTTCTTCTCATTCTTCTTTGGCACCTATGGTAGAGATAAGAGGTATTTGGCTAATTGAAACTATGCACTTTTTGATCCTTGAACGCATGTTATCGATAACATGGAAGTAATTTTTTCATATGCGAGAATTTTTTTTATAATTGAGTTAAATAAGCAATTCCAAATCAAGCAATTGAGAAAAATTCGCTACAACTTATATTTGGCTTTATATTAGGTCGCTAGTCTTCTTCACGATGATGTGTTGGATGACGCTGATAAGAGACGTGGGATTGGTTCATTAAACTTTGTAATGGGCAACAAGGTATTTACGCTTTTGGTTAACTTGGAACAATTTATTTTCCTCTCTTCTTTTGCATCATGAATATGATTCCTTGAATCTTTCCTACCACATCTCTTAAACAAATTCTCTTGTCTTTCTGTTCACCATGACTAATCAATGAAAGTAGAAGTTATGTTGAGAGGAAACAAATTTTAATTAAACTAGTATTGGATGGTGAGATGAAAAGGATGGACTCTTACTTGGTTGATCTTGTAGAGAGAGCTTGTATCCCACTTCGCATGATTTAGAACACTTAAGGTTAGGTTACCTACTTAAAGGGCCACTCCATTTCGAGTTTGATGGTCTAACATGATATCAGAGCTGGACCTTAGGTAGTTAGTGGGTCAAGTCTCTTACCCATTTGAATATCTTGGTAAACATGTTTGTCAGCCTTACATGTGAGGCTGGGTCCTATATGAGGGAGGGTGTAAAGAGAGCTTGTATCTCACATCAAATGATTAGGACCATCCAAGATGAGTTTATATACTTGAGAGACCACTCCATTCATTGCCAATTGGTTTTGAGTTGAATGCTTTAACAGATTTCACGTAATGTGTAGGCTTCCTTGATCAACTTTGGTGATAAAAAAGATGCACCCTTATTTGGTTAATTTTACCATGTGTGTAGATTTCCTTTGTCAATTCTGTATACATTAGCAGTGTAAAGAGAGCTTGTATTCTCACATCAAATGATTGGAACTTACAGTCGAGATACTTCTCATAGCTCTAAGTAAACATTAACATTGAAGATAAATATCTCTTTTAATTAGTGTTAGTGAGTTGGGTTTTTAACAGCCCCTCTTCCCCCACGATCGCTTCTAAAACATATGAATTGGGAAATAATAGAAAATCTCTCCTCCACCCCACCCCCACCCCCCTCCCCCCCCAAAAAAAAAAAAACCCTAACCCAACATTTATGTGGATGTGTCCATGTGTCGTTGCCCTCAAATGCAAGGTGTGCAGGGAATCGTGAGGAGGTAGCTTTCGGAGATGTTATTGCCTGCAGGATTCTTGAGTTTCGATCCTCAATGATCAAATGAATTGTGATGTTGATGTACCTATGAAGAGAAATTATGAAGAATTTTTGGAGTGAGTTTTTTATTTTCCCTTTGTCATGGTGCAGCTAGCAGTATTAGCAGGAGACTTCCTGCTTTCCAGAGCTTGTGTGGCACTTGCCTCATTGAAGAACACAGAGGTATACATTCAGTTGTTTATTTTTCTTTTATTTCTTGGGTAAACTTACAGATTTAGATTAGCTACCTTTTATGCTGGACTAGCTGTGCAGAAAGATTACATTTTTTTTAATTATGCAAGGATTGTAAAAGACGAAAAAGGATAGGTTGAGGACCACATTTCACTAGATCATGAATGTGCACTTGAACTAGAATATAGAAAGCGCTTATGGGATTTGGAAACTTGAAGGTTAAGAAGAAAAAGGGGGAGAGGAAAAGAATAGGAGAAATCTCAGGCTAGCACATCTTGGCTCTGAGTTATTCATGCTTAAAGGAGAAGATGCATCACACTGTCCATCTAATACACTCCATAGGATATCTTCATTCACTACTTGAGAAAAGCCACAAATACTATATATTAGACTCTTAGCTGGAGACAAAGCAAACTTGGTGACCAAGTAATTTTTGGAAATCACATCTTAAGACGTGGACTTTCATTTGGACTCACTAAGCCTTTGTTCCAGTCTAATAACTGGTTCTATAGTCAACGCTCTTCATGGCAGCTCCCCATCGTTCAAAACCTCATCTAATTAATATGCCTAACATTAAAGCTTAAAAAAAATCTGTTCCATTCAAATGGAGTGGATATCTCCAGGCACCCCTAAAAGGAGAGCTGCAGGGTTTGAATCTGATTTAGATGTGAGTGCATATTTATTACTGCTTCAAAACAATACGCCGTTACCATATAATAAGGACTAGAAAATATTAAACTTCCAAATTCTTTTAGTTTACATTTTACAGGTGGTGCATGCATATCATGGTTGGAAAAGGGCTGGAATATGAATGTTTAAACTTCCAACTTTGTTGATTACATAGGGGCTTTTTCCTTGAGAGCTAATCATTATGTCCAAATCTCCCTTTTCTTCAAGTTTCTCTTTCACTGATTTCCTATTGTTCGCATCATGCTTCTTTTGGACCTCCGCCTTCCTATTACAAATATCCGGATTTCAGCCTTAATTGCTCCATCTGATCCCTTCTGTTGCACCATATCATCGACCAGCCTCTGTGAACGGCCATCTAAATGCTGAAAGGTTTTCTGTCCATAATTGTTTTTGTTTTCGTGTGCTTCTGCAGGTTGTGTCACTACTAGCAACTGTTGTAGAGCATCTTGTTACAGGAGAGACCATGCAAATGACTACTACATCTGAACAGCGTTGTAGGTATGCTGTCTGGTGCTGGTGTCATTGTATACTTTGCTTACTAATCTGTTATATGCTACTAGACAAGCCTTGCAAATTGCTATGGGCATAATTGTAGAATTCAGCAGACGAACCAACTAGACGTCTGCCATCTTGTTACCATCATATCATGTCCTGGTGCTACTATTGAGTTAAGTCATGCAATCTTCAAAATATTTGATCAAAAAAATTAATATGACCTGGAAATACAGGAGTTAGTATCACCATTTTGTTTATGAAATAAGTTTTTCTTGTTTTGATCCCTAATAAGTTTTCTTTGTGTATGCAACCTTGACCATCAGATGACCTTGATTCATGATAGATAGGATGGGGATCATGCAATCCTCTTAAGGCATGTTACTAGTGAAGGCTTTAGAATCTTATTTTCAAGAAGTGTCTTGCATTTTATTATTCAAACTACAACGCTTCCATGACCACTAAAAAACTGAACACTTGCATGGCCTCATCATTACCATTTTATGATTCCTCCATTGGTATCATCTATGCCATCTCAATTCAGTTAACAAATTACTACATTGTTTTTGTGGGATCGTTTTCAGGATCACCTATGTATATATGCCTATATACTAGGGAAAAAAAGAATACCCATGTTCATTTCAGAGAGAGACATAGAGACTGAGAGAGAGGGAGGGAGAAATCTTTAAAAAAATTTGGCACACTGGTCAAAAGAATGGGAGAACGGGGAAATGTATTTACCATTTGGAACATTTGTGCTATTTTTTTAGATCTGTCCAGATTTTGGATGAACCTTTTTTTTACAGGAAACAAAACTTTCATTCATTAAAGGATGGCTAACAAAAGAGGTGGACAAGATATCCACCCTATAATGATTCAGAACAGGGGAGTTACATCAAAAGAAAAGCAATATACTCTTATAACACCACTAGGACTTCCCTAGTTACAATTTTGGATGACTTTGGCAAAACAGGTTATAAGTTTTGAGTTAAACTTTCAAAGGATTTGAGTGCCCAAAACTCGAGGAATATCTCAAAATTTTGGAAACCTTTGTCCCCCAACAAAAGGGAAGAAAAGAGAATGAAAGAAATGAATCTTCCCTGAAAATGGAACAAAGTAGAGCATTATGGCTCTACTAACGTTGATAGTAATGTATTTGTAGTTTGACTGCTTACACACATAAATCTTGCATCTTGATGGCTAATTAATTGCTAGCTTATTGACGTTTTAGCTTGCATTTGAGGACTTACCCTTCAGGAGTTATGTGAGAATGATTACTTTTTGTTTCAGCATGGAATACTATTTGCAAAAGACATACTACAAGACTGCGTCATTGATTTCAAACAGCTGCAAGTCAATTGCCCTTCTTGCAGGACAAACAGCAGAAGTTTCAATGCTGGCTTACGAGTATGGCAAGAATCTGGTCCGTATTATGCTTCCAGTGCATCTTTTATCTATTATAGTCTTCAAGATTAAACTGTGTATGAAATTCTGGGATTGGTTGCTTCCACATGAACAGACAAATTCAGAGGGATCACTGGGAAGTGAAATTTAGATATTGCCGATGCCAGAGAGAACCATCCTTCTGTCTGTAGCTTTTAACATAGTGTAGGCGGGGATATGAAAAGGTGCTTAAACACACAGGAATATGTAATCTGCCATTTTCCTTCTTATATGGTAACCTTAATGTGTCATATTAGAAGAGGAATGTTAGGAATGAGGGACCAATAAATACCTGTCTCACCGACGATCCTTGGTCAGATGTCTGGGAATCTCTTACTTATTACTGATTCTTGGTTTTTAAGTCATTGTCACCATTGGCAGACATATTACAGTGTGGAGGACATTGTAATATTGTAGTTTCAGCAATTGCATTTTATTAAAATGACAGCAACTCTCAATTGCACTATGATTTGGCTTTCATAAATGCGATGCACTTGCAACTGCTGTTATTGTGACTGTATTTGTAGCCAACTGAATCCAAAATAGTATCTTCTGTCAAATGGCACCAGATTGTTGTATACATTTCATACCCCGATTTATCTTTTGGACTAATCAATTACCTCTCTCTCTTTCTCTCCTGCAGGGATTAGCATATCAATTAATAGACGACGTTCTTGATTTCATAGGCACATCAGCTTCCCTTGGGAAGGGCTCATTGTCTGACATTCGCCATGTAATCTTTCTATATTTTGTGCATTTGTTTTCTACTGGCTGAAGCATTTGTTGTGGTTTGGGGGATAAATTTTGTCAAGTTCATTGTTTTCTTTAATTCCTTTTTCCGTATACTAGCACTACACACAATGTGCTGTAGTCAAGACTTGGACCCTGCACCACCTTTAGGGGCAGTATTAGATACCACTCAAAACTATTTGCCCGTAGCACTGCTATTAAATAAATATGCTTGGAATAGCCGTTACTTTCATTATGATTGGCTTCTATTAAGCAAGATTACTCCCAAAATTTAATATTCTGCTGGGCTGGAGCAGTTGTGGTCTGACCATTCTAATTTCAAATTTCCTTGGCAAGAGTATATTCTGAGGCCTGTGTTGAGAACTCAGCAACTTGGTGGAATGCATCCAATAAGTATGCTCATTTTCCATGTCACTGGCATGTGAGGCACCTAGGTAACTCTCTTCAAAAAAATGTAATGAGATACCAATGATGTAAGCTCTAATCAAATAGAATTTAAGTGTTTACTCCTCATTAAGTAATGCTTCTTTTCCGTTTCTTTCCCCCTCATTCCCCCCCCCCCCCCCCCTCCCTCTTCCCCTCCTCTTTCTACTTGGGGTAAAAAGAGAAAAAAAGAGGAAAATAATTGTTGGCACCCTAGTTGTAGGTCCTTATAACACCTTTTAGAAGTAATTAAAGTGGGGATCCACACAGTAGTTGCTGTATGTGTTTAATCAACAATAAGTTATTCCGAAATGTTTTTTTTTTGCCATATATGATGGAGTGTTTTCATGACCTTCACATGTTGGCACCTCATACCATCATCTACAAGTTTTATTTGATTGACGAGATCAAATCTAAGAAGTTTATGCACGAGGTGTTTTTTTTACCATTTTGAGTAAATAAGTGCTGTCTAATTTACAATTCTGTGAGGCACGCATTTCTACAAGTTTGTTTTGGACAATAAAATCATACATCTCCTTGATCCATGAACTGAACATGATTCCTAAACAATGGTTTGTGAGAAACTTGCAATAATTCAAGCAATTTAGAAGTAACATGTACATCTCATCCAACAAAACTGAGAGTTTGACAGATGATCTCCTCAATAGTATCACGTGACCTGAATTTTATAACCCTGCTTCTCAAGGATGGTTAATTTCTTGTTCTCTGTCCATTATGATGTGAAGTGTTGAATCATGTACATGCTGTTTTTTCTTTTACTATATGATAGAATTCTTTTATTTGATTTCACTGTTAGTTTTCTTCATTTCTGGCTGAAATTTATGAGATTCCATTGAAACAAATTATGTTATATATTGGAAAATCTATGGTATGATTAATGGTTACTGTTGGAACACCTGTTTACAGGCCTGGTAAAATGCTATCATGCATTTCCTTCTGTTGGATATATTACAAATTGTAATTTTAACTTGATAGAATAACTTATTTGTTGCCAGGACACATTATGCCGCTTATGTATTTATGTACTAAAGTTTTGATTTTCCATTTATTGGTTGGACTGCTTGTCCATTCTAATTTTCCTATATGTACTAACTGGTTTTATTGGTTGGACTGCTTGTCCATCCTAATTTTCCTATATGTACTAAATGGTTCCGTTTCCTAGCAAAAACATTGAGGTCTACTTTCATTGTTTTTTACCATGCACTTGCACTTGTGTAGTTGTTTAGTGGTTTGCATGGTCTTATTCATGTATATTAATAGCCTACATGAAAAGTCTGTTAAAATGAGGAGGACACCTGTTTTCAGTGATAACATGTAAGCAAATTAAGTTTTTTTTGCAGGGAATTGTAACAGCTCCAATATTGTTTGCCATAGAGGAGTTTCCTGAATTGCGTGGGGTTGTTGATCGGGGATTTGACAACTCTGCAGATGTGGATCTTGTAAGTTTCTACATTGCATTATAAATGACATGTGATTTTTTGTTCAAACCTGTCTGTTTCCCTGGAGTTACTGCTTGCCGAGGGAAGATTATTTTGGTATCAAACTATTTTCTGCACAAGTGGCAATGCCACCTATGAATATGCAGCAAAGAATTACTACAGATGCTGCATGTTAATTTTCTCTGTTGAACATTAATGTTAACCATTTCTGCCCAAGTGCAATGTTGGTTTTTTCTACCCTTCTTCTGCCTTTCATTGTGCGAGAACTAGTAATTCTAAATTACTTTATTGGAAAGGTTGTATGTTCCGTAACACCATTTTGCCTTCTAATTCTAAGTTCAACTCCTAATGACACCTTTTCCCTTTTCGGAAATCCAGACTGACTTGCAAAATTTGTTCTCTCCAACCCCATCATCAAAATCACTATGATCTGTTTTTTGGAAAAAATGGAAAACCACCAACATCATTGTCGGTGTTGTCGTCGTCGTCTCCTTTTGTGGGTAGTTACGGATGTGGGTCTGTTCAAGTTCTCTTGTTTCTTTGTTGGCTTTATTTTTTTATGTTGTTTTTAACCTTGTTAAAGAGCCAACCTCAATTAAAGAAAGAAACTTCAAATCTAGCAATATAACTACTCCAAGCTGGGGCTGTTAATCAAACTGAGCTACTCGAGCTTGGCTTGAGTTCGGCTCTCGTTCAGGCTCGTTTAGAAAACAAGCACTACAAGCTCGGCTTGTTTATGTGCAAATGCTCGGGTTCGGCTCGGGCTCGACTTGGGTTCGGCTCGTTCAGGCTCGGCTCGTTTCCTGAACTTGAGCAATTTTTAAAGCTCGATTAAAAAATAAACTTTTCAAGCTCGGCTCGAACTGGACTCGGACTTGTTCGACTAATTGCCTTACTCCAAGCATCATAAATTACAATGAAAATTGAATTATAATCTTTGTAGCTTGAGGAAATAATATTCTCGCTATTAACATGCAATTAAATCAGGTCGAATTTTCTGGGGTTCAAATTACTTTTACCTATCTACTGCTTTTTGAGGAAGCCACTATTGATTCATTATGGTTTAGGCCTTCCAGAGGCTGTTGACACAATTTTAATTTTAATTTGTACGATATAATATCCTGACAGGTGATCTTAATGAATTTCCCAAGACTAATTATGTATCTTCCTTTGATTTATGCATAAAAAATTACCTTGCCGTTTGTTTGATTCAAATTGCATGTGTTGCTTCTTTATTTGACATTGTAGATTTTTCAGTGCAACATTGGCCATGGTACTATTGTCTCCTTAAATTATTCCTTCATCTTTCTTTGCTTTATATACCACCATACTGTAGATTTTGGGAAAGTGACAAAAAATTGTGAAAAACAGGCTCTTCACTACCTTGGAAAGAGCCGTGGGATACAGAGAACAAGGGAGCTAGCAACAAAGCATGCCAACCTTGCCTCAGTTGCAATTGATTCTCTGCCCGAGAGCGATGATGAGGATGTTCAAATATCAAGACGGGCTCTCGTACAGCTAACTCAAAGGGTGATTACAAGAACAAAGTAAAGAAAAACAAGGGAAAAGAAAAAAAAAATTCTGGATTAATGACAGGAGTATGTGAAAATTTTGTTTTGCCTTTCTCCCTCTGTACCTTTGACGTGGGGGATGGAGTTCTCTAATTCATTTCACCAAACATTCCTTCAATTGTTCCTCGTTTGTCTTCAAATAAGTACTCCAGAAAGGAACAGGCTGCAGCTGCAATTTAAACTTTCATGTAGTGTAAATATTATCATCAGTAATGTTATCTAGCATCTGGCAATCCAATAACGCAATCTCAGTGGAATATGTCTTGATCTAATTAGATCTGTCTCATGATGTTACTAACTGCTTTCAGATGAAGACTTTTCATGGTCCCCATTCAAGATGAGGCCGAGGGAGGCATTCGATCAACCCGATGGGCTACAAGTTCCTTGCATTAAACAGGCTGCGTTTAGTCTGCAAGGAATGTGACTGGTAATAGCTAGTTTGAAACCCAGCCTCCACAGCTCTATTTGTGGGGTGGTTTGTGTGTCGAGCCCAAAATGCCCAGTCAAAAGGATACTGGGGTCACAAAGTGAGGCATCTACTGAACCAAAACATGTAATCAAGCATACTAATAAGAGAATGAGGTCCAAAGCAGGCATGAAGGCTAGTTCATGCCAAAAAAAAAGTGGCTCACTGAATAAAATTTTCGTCATTGTTGAGTTTGGAGAGGGTCAAATGTAGCCCGTCTTACTTTTGTGTGAGGAGAAATTTTTTTGTTCTTCAAATTATTGATGTCCAAGTGATAATAGGATGATCTTGTCACTATGATAAGTAGTGGTGGAGGCAAATAGGGGTCAAGGGGCTTGGGTTCACCCTGAATTTTTTTTTTTATTATTTTTACTTATGTATATTGTGTATTTTTTTAATATTTTTAATTATGCCCACTCTAATGACTTCAAATAAATAAAATTGGGTTTATTAGAAGAACAAATCTCTTGGTTAATCAATAAAAATAGAATTGGTTATATAATCTCTTGGAGTCAACAACAAAAAAAGAAATTAGATATAACAAAAAAGTTTGGTGGATCCTATTCTCAAGTTAGCACTAAAGCTAAGGAAGGGTAAAAAGAAAAAATTCAAAGGGTCAACCAAACACATCACTCACTCACTCTCTCATGCCCTCCCTCTAACTTGGTCTGTCAATTGAGTCGGGTGAAATGAGTACAAGTCAGGTATCAGAGAGTTTGTGTTAAAAATATTATATTCATATTAGATTCGTTTATTAATTCATTTCTATTAAATTGTGTCTTATTATGTTCATGTCATTTATAAATTGCATATAATTGATATATAAATGAGTTGTGTTGTATATTTCTGTTGATTGATGCTCACTCATACCCGATTCATCTAATCAATGTGTCGTGTAAGATTTACTTATTTATTAAACGGTGATTTAATGAAAACTCAAACTCTTTAATGTTAACGAATCGTGCTATATTTTAATACCCCTATCTCTCACTCACTCTCTGTTGACACATAAAACCGCTTTCTTTCTTTCTTTTTTTTGTTACAAATTATTTTTTATTTGCGTTATGAAAAATATGCCACAATTTTTTTATATTAAAATTTAAAAATTAAAATCAATAAACCATGTGATGTAGATCGTATTAGGGAAGAATTAGGGATGAGAAGGGAAGAAAAAAGGGATGAAAAAAAAAAAAGAAGGGATGAGAATAGAGAGATAATTTTATGAAGAAGATTCAATATCAATAATCAATAATCAAAGTCTAGTCCCCAAATAAATATGTATCCCCTATATATATAAGGAAATCACAAACCCTAAAATAAATAAATAATCAAAATGACAACTAAACCCTTAAAAGTTAAAAGAAATTACTTAAACAATAAATATTAAAAATATCTAAATAACTATCATAATTAATCTATCATATCTATCCAATTTCTACACGATCCCCATCATTCTCCTCTGGTTGAAAAAACCTCTCATCCGGAGAGTCTTCAAAATAGAAGTACCCCAAGAGAGCAGGATGAAGATGACATAATATCTCATCTAGAATGAAAGAACCATCAATATCTTTCCATCGATCAGAATAAATGCAAGAATCTCCATCTGTAACAATGTAAATCTGGTCACGTAACACATCATCTATTTGCCCTGAAATACGCGATGAAAGTGAAAATATAAGAACTGGAGCTAATGCTGAGGAAGAAGCAATTCCACTTATAGAAACACTGGATAACAAAATAGGAGGCTTTGGAGTATCTCGATTAAGTAACATGTCATCCAAATAAAAATCTGGACTAATACTAACATTCAATGTAAAATTAAGCAAATAAACATTAGATCCAAACTCGAGAATAGAAAAATAATTCTCATTAGGTTTCAACAAAAAGTATTCAATGAGACAAGATATCGATGACAAAGGAGTAACATTGACGCCTTGGTGCTGAAAATAATTAAGTACCAACTCAAGTGAAATTTTAATAGTAGGAATAAAGTCAACTATTTCAGAGGAAAAGGACTTGGGAACAAAGTTAGATTGATTTGAAATAGGAGACACAAAATAATCACTAAAAGATTCTGAAATAGGTAACTCAATGTGCTTGACATCTTTCATATGTGTGGACTCGACAAACTTTTCAACAAGTTCCATTACAAGTGGTGACTCAACATTTGACTCTGACAAAGGCTCAAACTTATTTTCTTCAGGTATTGACTTTTGTTGGTATGAAGGAGGTGAGCTCTAATTTGATGAAATCGGACAAGGGGATTGGTAGTTGACATGAGTAACATATTTTTTTGTATGTGAGAGTGTGTTATCCAAATCCATAGTCACCCTGAAATTAGAAAAACATGCAGAAACAACATGGATATCATTCAAGTAATCATGATACTCATATGTGATAGAATTACAATTGGAAGATGTCCTATCAGTAGGTTATAATTGAGAACCCATCAAGTTATAGTTAGATTTCTTATGAAATTTCTCAACCTTTATAGCATATTGATAGGCTGCAACTAACGTATTAAAAGTGTATTGTTTGACTTCCCTATTAATTTTTTGTCTCAACCCAAGAATAAACTAATCAATTGTCCAAGGTTCTTCAACAATGTCACACAAGTACATGAGATAATCAAACTGGGCAAAGTAATCAAAGACACTAGAAGAATGTTGTCTAAGATTGAGTCATTGGTCATAAATTTAATCCATATAAGAAGTAGGCAAATACTTATCTTTCAATTTATATCTCATTTCAACCCAAGTGATAGGTGATTCTTCTAAGAGATCTAAACTTCTTTGAATTGTTTGCCAATACTTCTTGACAGAACCCTTCAACATCAATTTAGCAAAATAGACACAATGAGAATCTGACATACCATGTCAATCAAAATATTTTTTTAAATTAGCTAACCAATCCAAGAATTGATTGTGATCTAAAGTGCCACTAAATATAGAAGGATCTTTAACTAGTGTGGTTGTATGGGTTGACTCTATGTAAACATCCCTAGACTTCCTATGATAATGACCTCAACGAAAGACTCTTGAAATATGTGCATTAGAGGAACTCATGAGTGACTCTTGAAAGATGAGAATGATATAAGAACAAATTCAAGAATGTAATTAATAATTACAAGAAATGAGAAAACTTAAATAGAAGAAAATATGTTTTGGATCAATTGTAAATTCTCTAATTTTTCAATGAATAAAAATATTAGTCTCAAATTCCATGGGAGTATGCATACCATAATCAAGAGAAAATTCTGAAACTTTTTGGGGATAAGTCTATAATTTTTGAAACTTTTGGGGTGATGATTCTATAATTTTTGAAACTTTTAGTGGTGATTCAATAATTTTTAAAATTTTTTGGTGGTGTTCTATTACTTTTGGATTTTTTTGGAGTATTTCTGTAATTTTTGAAGACCTCTTGGAATGTGTCTGCAATTTTTGGGACTTATGAAGATGTTTCTATAATTTGTTGGGACTTATGAAGATGTTTCTATAATTTGTTGAATCTGCTGGAAACTTTGGGTCAAAACTTAACCCATCTGGCTACTGCTACAGATAAAAAAAAAATTTCTTTTTTTTTCTTTCACTGATGAACAGTGTTTTCAAATGAACAATGCACCCATAAACAATAACTTCATTTTTTTTTTACCTGGATAGCCAATAAACAGTGTCGAAGAACAGTACCGATGAACATTTTTTTTTTTTTCAGGCTAGTTCTGTTGCAACGAGATGAATAGCGACCAGGGATGGTGAACAATGCACGAACAACGCGTGAACAATAATTTGGCTAACAATTTTTTTTTTTTTTGTAATTTGTACGAATCGAAGTTGAGCTCTGATATCAAATTAATGTAGATCGTATTGGGGAATAATTAGGGATAAGAAAGAAAGAAGAAAGAGATGAGAAAATAATAAGAAGATGATGAGAATAGAGAGAGAATTTTAAGAAGAAGATTCAATATCAATAATCAATAATTAAAGTCTAGTCCCCCAACAAATATGTATCCATTATATATATAAGGAGTTCACAAATCCTATATATATATAAGGAGATCACAAACTCTAAAATAAATAAATAATTCAAATGACAATTAAACGCTTAAAAGTTAAAAGAAATTACTTAAACAATAAATATTAAAAATATTTAAATAACTATCATAATTAATCTATCATATCTATCCAATTCTTACACGATTCACATCACCATAATTGTTTAAAATTAAAAGAAATTTTTTAAAATTAAACTTGACAAAATCTTTCCAAGATCGAATATTAGAAGAAAGATTAGGTGGATTAGTGATAATATTATTATAAAAAGCTATAGTAGGGAAACTTAAATATAAAAATTAATAGTACTTTTAATATTATAAAAAAAGAAGAATAAATTTTAAATAAAAAAATATTAATACAAAAAATAATAAAACCTCCTTTTTAGTTACCGTTTTAGACCTTAAATAGTGTGCGCCGCCCCTACTTTGAAAAGTAATAACTTTCGGTGTGGAAGCAAAATTT